TTTCTTTCTTTCTTCGTTCCTTTGTTCCTTCCTTCCTTCTTTCCTCCCTCTCTCGCTCCGTCTATCCATCTTTCTTTCTTTTTCTTTCTTTCTCTCTTTTTCTTTCTTTCTTTCTTTGTTTGTTCCTTCCTTCCTTCCTTCCTTCCTCCTCCTCCTCCTCCTTTTCTTTCTTTCTTTCTTTCTTTCTTTCTTTCTTTCTTTCTTTCCTTCCTTCCTTCCTTCCTTTCCTTCCTTCCTTCCTTCCTTCTCTCTTGACAAACATACCTAATACTCCTTCTTCCTATTTCCCAACAACAACAACCCTGTAAGGTGGGTTCAGCTGAGAGAGAGGGATTGGCCAGAGTCGCCCAGGCATACAGGATTCACTGTCTCCTGGTGATTGGCCCAAAGTTACCTAGCTGGCTTTCATGCCTTCGGTCTGATTTAAGTGCTGTACATAAAATTATCTGCTACAATGTCCTACCTGTCATTGACTACTTCAGCTTCAACCACAACAACACACGAGCACACAATAGATACAAACTCAAGGTTAACCGCTCCAAACTCAATTGCAGAAAATATGATTTCAGCAACAGAGTGGTCAATGCCTGAAATGCACTACCTGCATCTGTGGTTACATCCTCAACCCCCCAAAACTTTAACCTTAGAATGTCTACTGTTGACCTCACCCCATTCCTAAGAGGTCTGCAAGGGGCATGCATAAGCGCACCAGTGTGCCTACCGTCCCTGTCCTAATATTCCTTTTTACTCTTACTCTTTTCATGTATTCGAATTATGTTTATACTTTTTTTAAAAATTTTTTGATTTATATGCCGCCCTTCTCCAGAGACTCAGGACGACTTTGGCAAAAGAAACCACAGATAGCATCAACAATGATTAGTGATACTAATACTTCACGTAATTTTGATTCTATGCCTCTCTTTATACAGGCAAGGATTTTATTAGCCTTTTTGACAGCTGCCGCACACCTCTGGCTCATATTTAAGTCATCGTCGACTAGGACTCCAAAGTCCCTCTCACAGTTACTGTTTTTGAGCCAGGTTTCACCTAATTTATACTTGTACCTTTGGTTTTTCCTACCTAAATGTAAAACCTTACTTTTCTCCCAGTTAAATTTCATGTTGTTGGATAGGGCCCATTGTTCAAGTCTGTCAAGAATCTTTTGGATGCTGAGCTTGTCTTCTGGAGTATTGGCTATTCCTGCCAGCTTAGTGTCATCTGCAAATTTGATGAATTCCCCTTCTATTCCCTCATCTAAATCATTTATGAAGGTATTGAAGAGCTCTGGCCGTAACACGTAAACTTGTGGTACCCCATTGCTTAGCTCCCTCCATGTAGATGTAGTACCATTAAGGATGACTCATTGAGTATGGTTAGTCAGCCAGTTACGAATCCATCCTGTGGTGATGTTGTCTATTCTTCATTTTTCTAGCTTACTAAGAAATAGGTTGTGGCCTACTTTGTCAAATGCCTTACTGAAGTCTAAGTATACTATGTCCACAGCATTTTGCTGGTCTACTAATTTAATCACTTTGTCAAAGAATGAAATAAGATAGGTTGGGCATGATCTGTTTTTAACAAACCTGTGTTGGCTCCTAGTTATAAATTTATTTGCTTCTAGATGTTTGCAGATCTGTTTTTTGACATCCACATCTGCCTCTCCCAGTTCCTTGGGGAGGACTCAATGGATGGATAAAAATGCCAAATCCAGTCAAAACATCTGGCTGACTATGCAACCCACTATATTAAGTCAGATATATAAATCACAATACAGACTCTGTTTTTACTGGGCCATGAAACCAGAGAGGAAGTAGGATGCTATACTGAAGACGCAGATTTGAAATGCAAAAAAAATTGTTTAATTAGGAAGGGTGTAGCACAGCACTACCAAGGAATTAATTTTGAGGCAGACATTAAAAAAAATACACACAGATGTTTGTGGTTACAGAGTACGAGGCCTGCTGATTTCCATTCACAGGAAGAAGCACGTTATGCTTGCGAACAAAACAATGTTGACATTGGGGCGGGGAGCATAGAGCTGTTAGAGGGATCTAAAAGGACATCTATTCAACCCTCTTTCAGCTGGAACATTCTTTCTCCTTATGGAAGGTTGAAGAACGCAGAAATATAAAGGTTAGGCTGATTTGATAGGCTATGTCACTATTTCTTCACCTTTTTGACTTTAAGAATTCGGGGAGTTAAAATCCTCACATCTTAAAATCACCAAGATTGAGAAACACTGAGGGGAACTGATTTGATTGGGGTGGGGAAGACAGTCCACCCAAATTAGCTAACCACATTTTATCTAGTGTGTCTAGTAAGTCAGACCCTGTTAGTTTCCAGTTCAGTGTGCTGTGTGAATCTTCCAGATTACATGAATGGAATAAACCAGGATTAAATTCAAAATTAAGAGCCTTGATAGTACAGTGGTTTAAGCACCCTGTTATTAACACAGCTGCCTGCAATTTACTGCTGGTTTGAATCTCTCCAAGGCTCAAGGTTGACTCAGTCTTCCATCCTTTCTAAGGTAGGTGAAATGAGGACCCAGTTTGTGGGGGCAATAAGCTGACTTTGTATAAATATACAAAAGTATGAAGGCTATTGCTTAACGCATTGTAAGCCGCCCTGAGTCTCCGGAGAAGGGCGGCATATAAATCAAATTAAAAATATATATATATCAGTTCAAAACCAGTTTTTTGCAGACACAACTCTAAGTAGTCAACTTACACTGACAGTGGGGACCAGAATTTCTGTTTCTAATCCAAGCAGTTGTTAGGTGAATCATGCTTACTATTTTTCCCAAGGTTGTTAAGCGAATCACTGCAGTTGTTAAGTGAATCACTTGGTCGTTAAGCAAAGGGGCCTTCCCGCGTTGATTTTGTGGAAAACTGGCTGGGAAGGTCCCAAATGGAGATCATGTGACCCCACTTAACAACCGTGTTATTAACTTAACAGCTACAGTGATTCACGTAACAACTGTCATAAAATGGGGCACAACTCATTAAACAACTGTCTTGCTTAGCAACAGAAATGTTGGGCTCAATTGTGGTCATAAGTCAAGGGCTACCTGTAAAAGGACCAGCACTTTGTAAAGAAGAAAAGAGCCAGCAGCAAGGATGTGGGTTGGGAAGAACCAATAGTTGGTCTAGTAACTGATAAGGGAGGGTGGTATTTTGTGCAGGTCAAAAGTCTAACTTTATAACATGCCTAATGCCCCTAAACAAAGATTGCCCCCCTCTCAAGACTTTCTGTATTGCAAAATTCTTTTTAGCAGCTGCAAAGCAACGGGGAAGCAGAGGCGACCGAAAAAGATGCCTTGAAACACTGCAATAGGTTTCTCTCTCTCTTCTCATCAGTGTTCCTTCATTGTCGCCTGGATCCAAGGAAGGTAGTATGCCTGTTGCATTCATCCTGGCGGGCTCCTCATGAGGGGTTCAGATTAGAGATGACACAAGGACAGGTGTTTCTCGTGATGAGAGAGCCTCGAGCTGACTCCAGACCTCTCTTTTATTAAGCAAGGGTATTGGGCGTATCAGAAGGCATGATTGCAGCTATACATTCTCATATTACATCTGTGATACAAAGGATTTTCTCCATATCTGGACATAACTTTCACATCCTACCATATTACAGTAAATCACGTGAATTCTAGGAAAGCGATACCTAATGTAAAAACAAAACTTAACTCTGCCATGTTATCATATTTGGCTTCGTTCCCAGCATCCCATCACCTGCCAACCGAGAGGCCCTGTTACCAGAGATCTACCTCAGTTGTCAGGAATGTTCTACAAGGAGATGTCTCTGCTATGCAGGCACAGCCTATGTTATAAACAAAGAGAGAACGAATAGGGCCCTTCAGAGAGTATCCATATGAACCCGCTTTTTCTAGTCAGATTATTTCGGTGCTAAAGTCCATACAAGTGTCCAACCAGCTAAACTGGTCTATACATGTACTATGGCCACCGCATTCCCACATAAGCCACGTGGGTGTATATGGAAGGCGGGATCTGGAAGCCATAGGAGACGATGCCGTGGGCCACCCCATTGCAGAGCAAGGCACTCCCAGAATCCCCCTGAGGACAGGTGGAAAAAGGGTACAGATTAACAGAGTTGGAAGGGACCTTATAGGTCATCTAGTCCAACCCCCCCAGCAATGAATATTGTCAAAGTGAGACAAAGCAAATTAATTTTTAATAGACACTTTCTGACTCATTGTTTCCTCTCTCAAAAGTAGGTGGTCAGATACATGTGGGGGGGAGCTTTGAGGAGTGGGCTTTTAAGTCAAAAGGTGGGAGGAAGCTCCGCCCTTCTTTTTTCATCCTTGGTCCTATACCAGTGTTTCCCAGTCTTGACAACTTGAAGTTGTATGGACTTCAAGTCCCAGAATTCTCCAGCCAGCATTATGGGATTTGAAGTCCACAAATGCTGGCCAGGAAATTCTGGGTATTGAAGTTCACAAAAACTAGCTAGGGATGTCTGGGAGTTGAAGTCCACCCATCTTAAAGTTGCCAAGCTTGAAAACTACTGATCTAGCCTCTTGGCTTTTGTTAAGATATTTAAATTTAGCAGCTGGAGCAGTGAGGTTTGTGTAATGAGTCAGAACACACAGTTAAAGCTGATCGGTTGAAAAGAGCTGGCTCCTTCGTGAGGCAATCTAAGCTGTGATTGGTTGCTGTGGATGTGGAGGGGAGTTTCCCTTTTTTCCCGCCTTTTTCTTCTGTGTGCGTTCTGTGATTTACCTCATGATGTTCCCGCTGTGTTGATTTTCCTCATGATGCTCCAGTTTGCCTGATTATCTTGTTTAGTGTATATATAGATGTAAAATATATTTATATAAAACTACAAGTTCATGTCAGCATCTCTGACTCCATTTGGACACTAGTTGTGCCATTCCCTGACAGCTTTCATTGCCTTGATCACCAAAAAAAAAAAAAAAAAAAGAAGGAAAATACCCTTTTATTGTCGGAAAAAGGTTAAAAAACAAAGATGGTGGCACTCACATTGCTGACATCGCAGAGGGTGGCCCGACTGCCAGCACACATCATCCCGTCAGTAAGTTCTGGATCAAACCGGAGACATTTTCTACGGCCGAGGGCCGTCACGTTGGTCTCAAAGAGCTTCGGTGTGGGAAAATACGTGGCATCTCTCCGGCCCCATCCCGCCACAGAGCATCAGGTGTTTTTAGGAATGTCATCCATGGACTTTGGTATAGGGATCATTTGGACGTATTCATTCAGTTGAGCTTCACGGTCCAGCTGCCATCGAGAAGAACAGAAGCAAGAAAATATCCGAGCTGAATTTAATCCATCTTTCTCTCCTAGCATAATTATAGATACTCCTCGACTTATGACTGTAATGCAACCTCTGATCATCAAGCAGGTCATCACATGACCGATTCAATTTTATGACATTAGGAAAATTTGTGATCCTTAAGCAATCGCCGCCATCATTAAGCGAATGCATTGTCTGTAATAGATGTTTTTCACAGGAAACCAGAAGCAAAATATGTCATTAGTGGCAGTCATGTGACCACAGGATGCTGCAAACAGTCATAAGTGCCAGTTGCTAAGTGCCAAAAATGCGATCGAGTGACCACAGGATGGGGGCGGACGGGGGCTGATGGCCATCGTAAATTGGAATCTAGGGCATAAGTACTTTTTTGAGCTGTATCTTAACTTTGAACGGTTGCTAAACAAATTGAGGACGACCTCTATTGTATTATCCTTACAGATAGGCTAATTTTTGGTTCCAAAATATATCCCCCAAATTTGGATTTGGTTTATCCACAGATGGGCTTATCCACCATTATATACAGTATCATTCTTAAAAGTACCATTGCACTGGCAGAGAAGCTCAATAGAGGATTAGCTGACCATTGAAATTTTTGTGTTTTTTTCAATACATTCTTTAGTGACCGCTCAAAGTTATGACGACACTGAAAAAAGGGACTTATGACTGGTCTTTACACTTATGAACACGGCAGCTACAAACAAGTGATCGAAATTTGGGCAAATGGCAACCGACACTTGTTGTTGTTGATAGTCGTGAAGTCCTGTCCAACCCATCGCGACCCCATGGACAATGTTCCTCCAGGCCTTCCTGTCCTCCACCATCCTCTGGAGTCCATTTAAGCTCACGCCGACTACTTCGGTGACTCCATCCAGCCACCTCGTTCTCTGCTGTCCCCTTCTTCTTTTGCCCTCCATCTTTCCCAGCATTCGGCTCTTCTCCAGTGAGTCCTTCCTTCTCATTAGGTGGCCAAAGTATTAGTTTCATCTTCAGGATCTGGCCTTCTAAAGAGCAGTCAGGGTCCATCTCCTCTAGGACTGACATTATGCTTCACTTAATAAATACATCACTTAACAATGAATTTTTTGGTCCTGATTATGGTTGTAGGTCGAAGACTATATTTGCAAATCTGAGAAGTAGGTCTTTAATCATCTGAGTGACTTTGTTCAAAGTATAATTTGTATAAGTTTGGAGGCATGGATTTCTAGGGTTGCCAAATATGGAAAAATGCATATTCCATCTCTTTCATTTCATCTACTGATTCAAATAAGCTCGACTTACAATCACCATGGGGCCCAACATTTCTGTTGCTAAGCAAGACAGTTGTCAAGTGAGTTTTGCCCCATTTTATGACCTTTCTTGCCACAGTTGTTAAGTGAATCATAATTGTGAATCACTGCAGTTGTTAAGTTAGTTACACGGTTGTTAAGTGAATATGGTTTGCCCATTGACTGTGCTTGTAAGAATGTCACAAAAGGTGATCACATGACCCTGGGACACTCTGACCGTCATAAATATGAGTCAGTTGCCAAGTGCCTGAATTTTGGATCATGTGATGCTGCAAAGGCTGTTAGTGACAAGCGGTCATAAGTCACTTTTTTAGTAGTATTGTAACTTCCAAGGGTCCACTAAACGAATGGCCGTAAGTCGAGGACTACCTGTAGGCAAAATGAATGGTGTTCGCATTTGATTTTGGAGTGACCAAGTGTTGCTTTTCTTCATACCTTCAGCAGAAGGATGTCATTGAAAGGAATACCCCCTGCTACGAAATAACCGGGATGTTGGTAATGGCGTAAGAAAGCCACCACAGATTCAGAACCAAAATCACCCCCAATTATGATGTGCCACATTTCAGCCCGTGGAGTGGGACTCTGAGATCTCCCCCACCTCCGTGAAGATCAAAGCCACTTGTCTCAGAGCCCTCCTTACTACGGACACCACTCCGTAGTAGCACTCAGTCATTCAAGCCCTGGACATCTCACGGCTGGACTACTGCCATGCGCTCTACGTGGGGCTACCCTTGAAGAGTATTCAGAAGTTACAGTTGGTCCAGAATTCAACTGCGCAGATAGATCTTGGGCCCCAAAGAGTGGCCCATGTAACACCCCTATTGCATGAGCTGCATTGGTTGCCAATCTGCTTGCGGGTCCAAGACCTGCATGGCATGGACCCAGGTTACTTGAGGAAGTGTCTCACCCCTAAAGGATTGGCCTGCCCCACTCGGTCTGGCAGAAGGGGCCTGTTGTGGACCCCATTGGTCAAGGACTTCCAGCTAATGGGATCCAGGAGAAGGGCCTTTTCTGCAGTGGCTCCCGCCCTCTGGAACATCATGCTTTCCCCAAGTTGAGGTCTGCCCCTCCCTCATTGGCCTTCCGCAAGAGCCCTGAAATCCAGCTCTGCCAATTGGCCGGGGACCCTGATAGGGCAGTGATGGCGAACCTTTTTGGCACAGTGCTGGAAAGGGAGTGTGCATACACGCACTTGTCAGCGCCACAACCAGGAAGAGGAGCTGCCCAGGGGGCATAAACACGCCGAATAAGGTACTTCCGGTTTCCGGGGCGCGTACGCGCTCCAGCAAGCAAGTCTTCCAGTTACCGCCGCACATGCACATTCACCGATCAGCTGGCCAGCTCACTGGAAAATGGAGCACCAGCTCTTCCGGTTTTCGGCACTGCCGCACGCATAAAGGCCAGGTCATCATCATGTGCATATGCACGCCAGAAACCCGGAATGAGAGATGCCGCGTGTTCCAGGTGACATGGCTCCGTATGCCACTTTGGGCACACATGCCATAGGTTCTTCATCATGGCTAAAGGGGCACACCATGTTGGAGGTGGTGGGTGCACTAGGAACAAGATTCCCTACTACCCCATAGTACTCTGATTTTAACTTATCCAGTTAAAATGCTTCAATGTTTGTACTTCCGTGTTTTTAAAGACATTTGGAAGCCACCCAGAGGAGCTCCACAATCAGATAGGTGGTACATACATTCGATCCATCCCTCAATCAATAAAATTAAGGAACTGTTCATCCCAAATGCAAACTCACCCGTTGCAATGGCCTGCTGACAACACCCACTGGGGGGCAATGAGGAAACCCCCCCCCACATCCAAAACGTCCCCAAATTTTCAAAGCTGCCATGTAAGGTCTGGAGTGAGGCTTCACTTCGCGGCCTCCAACGATCCGGCTGCAAAGGGGTCCTGCAATGAAATGAAGAGGGATCTACCTCAATATCTCAAGGGCTGCCCCAAAGAAGAGGGAGTCAAGCTATTCCCCAAAGCACCTGAAGGCAGGACAAGAAGCAATGGGTGGAAACTAATCAAGGAGAGAAGCAACTTAGAACTAAGGAGAAATTTCCTGGCAGTGAGAACAATTAACCAGTGGAACTACTTGCCTCCAGAAGTTGTGAATGCTCCAACACCGGAAGTTTTTAAGAAGAGATTTGAGAACCATTGGTCAGGAAAGTTATACGTAGGGTCTCCTGCCTGAGCAGAGGGTTGGACTACCCTCTGAAGAAACCTCCAAGGTCTCTTCCAACTCTATTATTCTGTTATTCTGCTACAGACTTTCCTCCCTACAATTACAGTTTCAGAATAGGTAATACAGTTGGGCTTGCCGGTAAGCTACACATTGTATTCCTTGCAGAAAGCCAGAGGAGCCTGAGTGGTGTAGGAGGCTAATGCCTCCTAAGGCAGCATTTAACATCCAGCTGCCTGCAATTACTGTAAGTTCGAATCCCACCAGGCTCAAGGTCGACTCAGCCTTCCATCCTTTCTAAGGTGGGTAAATTGAGGACCCAGTTTGTGGGGGCAATAAGATGACTTTCTATAAATATATACAAAAGTATGAAGGCTATTGCTTAATGCATTGTAAGCCGCCCTGAGTCTCCGGAGAAGGGCGGCATATAAATCAAATTAAAAAAAAAAAAAAATTGAAGGATTAGGATTTGCATCGAGAAGAACCCAAGGTCTCAATTTAGGGCTGACCCTCTGGACCACAGCTGGAGAAAGGAGTTGAGTCACTTCCGTTGTTTCTATCATTAAGTGTTGTACTTTATGTTTCTTGACGAATGTATCTTTTCTTTTATGTATACTGAGAGCGTATGCACCAAAGACAAATTCCTTGTGTGTCCAATCACACTTGGCCTCTATTCTATTCTAGAATAGAATTCTATTCTATTCCCATTTTCGGGGATTCCATTCACATCCTAGTAAAAACCCAGCTGAAAGTTGGGTATCACCATGAGAAGTTGAGATGTCCTTGTATTTATGGAATGGACATTCCCCGGGTTCAAAATAGACCGCAGGAGGACTTTCTGATCCATACAAGCTATCAGTTAGCAGAACAGGCTGCTGTGTTAACTGCTGAGTCTTCTTCACTGGCGACCTTCAAACAAAGCTGGAAGGTCATTTGTTAGAGATAGAATAACAGACAGAATTGGAAGGGACCTTGGAGGTCTTCAGGTCCAACCCCCTGCTCAACCAGGTATATATTATTTCAGATAATTGGTTGTCTAGTCTCTTCTTAAAAACCTCCAGCGTTGGAGCATTCACAATTTCTGGAGGCAAGTTGTTCTCAATGTTAGGAAATTTCTCCTTAGTTTTAGGTTGCTTCTCTCCTTGAGTAGTTCCCATCCATTGTTTCTTGTCTTGCCTTTTGGTGTTATGGAAAATAATTTTCTTTGTGGCAGCCCCTCAAATACTAGTCCATCTAGTCCATCTTTTTTTTTAGACTAGCCAAACCTAAATCCTGCAACCGTTCTTCATAAGTTTTAGTCTCCAAGCCTTTAATCATCTTAGTTGCTCTTCTCTGAATTTTTTCCAAAGTCTCAAAATCTTTTTTGTAATGTGAATGCCGTATTCCAGGTGTGGTCTTAGTTTTTTTTTTCATACCAAGGAAGGAAAATAACCCAGGAAGTCCTTTTGCCCTTTGGAAAAGCACCTTCAGGAAAACCATGACCTGGATGATGGAGAATCATATCTAGGGATTCTTGCACTGAGTAGAGGTTGGACCAGAGGACTTCTAAGCACATTTCTACCCTTTTCTGCCTGCTTTCAGTTTTTCCTGCTTCCTCCTAGCAAGATGGAAACTCCTTTTAAGCTACTTACCAGCACCAGCCGAGGAGGTGGACAGGAGAGCAATCAAAAGGGAATAGAGTCTCCAAGACTCACCCATTTTGGTTCTAGTTGCAGATGTTGCAATGCCAGTAGAGGGAAGATTGGAGGTCTTTGTCCTCTATGCAGGACTGTCTTCTTTATATAAGTGCCTTCGGTTGACTGTTGGAAACTGTGACTATCTGATTCTGTGGATTATGTATCAGCTACCATTTCAGTTTTGAATAATCAGTGATCAATGTTGCTTCTGGGAAAGATGTAGGCCAGGCTCAAACCTTGGGAAAGGGTAGATTAGTTGGAGGGGAGGAACAGGGTAAGGGGACAAGGATGAGATGGAGAAACGGAAAGTAAAAGAAGGAAGAGGAGAGGAAGAGGAGGAGGAGAAAAGGAGAAGGAGGAGATGGAGGGAAGGGGGAGAACGAAAAGATAGAGGGAGGGAATGAGGAGGAGGAGGAGGAGAAGGAAGGAAGGAAACACAAGAAGGAGAAAGAAGGAATGAGGTGGAGGAGTGCAGTGGTGAAATGTAAAATTTGTTACTACCGGTTCTGTGGGTGTGGCTTGGTAGGGGGTGTAATGCGACTGGGTGGACGTGACCAACTTTTTATTTTTATTTTTATTTTTAAAGCCATTTTTTCTACAACCTCTTCGGCTGAAGAGGTTGTGAAAAAATGCTTTGAAAAGCCTCTGACGATCCCAGCTGAGCCACGCGATCATCAGAGGCTTTTTTTTTTACTTTTAAAAGCATTTTTTCGGCCGAAGAGGTTGTAGAAAAAATGCTTTTAAAAATTAAAAAAAAGCCTCTGATGATTGCGCGGCTCAGCTGGGCATGGGGAGGGGCAGGGATTTTTGCTACCGGTTCTCCGAACCACATGCCGCCATCGCTACCGGATTGGGCGACCCAGTCCAAACCAGGAGCATTTCACCCCTGGAGGAGTGGGAGTAGGAGAAAGGAGGAAAAGAAAGAAGGAGAAGAAAGAGTGGGAGGCAATGAAGAGGAGGAGAAAGAAAGAAAGAAAGACAAGAAAGAGAAAAAGGAGGGGAATGAGGAGGAAGAAGATAAGAAAATCGAAGAGAAGGAGGGGGGGAGGAAAGAGTGATTCACTTAACCACTGTGGCAAGAAAGGTCATAAAATGAGGAAAAACTCACTTAACTAATGTCTTCCTTAGCAACCTTAATTTTTATGCTCACTTGTGGTCATAAATCCAGGACTACCTGCACAGTTAGGCTTGCAAATTACAACTTATATTATTTATAGAGAGGCAGAGTTGAGTGGGGGTGGGGGTGGGGATGAGTGGGGGTGGAACATGTGAGTGGCAAGCCTCTCATGTCACCCCTGGTCCTTCTTTTCATTAAACTAGACATACCCAGTTCTTGCAACCGTTCTTCATACGTTTTAGCCTCCAATATCCCCTAATCCTCTTTGTTGCTCTTCTCTGCAATCTTTCTAGAGTCTCCACATCTTTTTTACACCGTGGTGACCAAAACTGAATGCAATACCCCAAGTGTGGCCTTACCAAGGCATTATTTCAGATAAGTGACTGTCTTGTCTCTTCTTAAAAACCTCCAGTGATAGAGTAATCACCATTTCTGGTGGCAAGCTGTTCCACTGGTTAATTGTCTTCACCGTTAGGGAAGTTTCTCATTAATTCTAGGTTGCTTCTCTCTTTGATTACTTATAGGCACCTTGGGTGCAACGCAATCCCAAAAGATCTGGAGCACCACTTCAACCTCATAGGCATGGACAGATTCCCCATCAGTCAATTGCAAAAGGCAGCTTGACTTGGAACAGCTGACATCCTGCGCCAAGAGCTTCGACACCCTCACACGTCCACATCTGCCTATCCCAGTCTCAATAGGTGGACCAAAATTCAAATTCTGCTCTAAACATCTGGTTGACTGTGCAACCGAGCATATTAAGTCAGGTTTACAATACAGACTCTGTTTTTACTGAACCGTGAAACCAGAGGCAAAGCAGGATGCCATACTGAAGACAGGTTTAAATGCAAAAATATTATTTATTTAGGAAGGGCGTGCAGCACATCACTACCAAGGAATTAAATCTTTGTGGTTACACAGTGTAAGAGGTCTGCAGATTTTCAGGCACAGATAGAAAAACGTTATTCTTGCATACAGAATAATGTCGACATTGGGGGAGCGTATAACTGTTGAAAGCACAGATGAAATTCAGCAAGTTCGGACCGGTTCTGGAGAACCGGTAACGGAAATTTTGAGTAGTTTGGAGAACTGGCAAATGCCGTCTCTGGCTGGCCCCAGAGTGGGGTGGGAATGGAGTTTTTGCAATATCCTTCCCTCAGGAGTGGGGAGGGAATGGGGATTTTGCAGTATCCTTCCCCTGCCATGTCCACCAAGCCACGCCCACAGAACCGGTACTAAAAAAAAATTGAATTCCACCACTGGTTGAAAGGGATCTAAAAGGTCATCTATTCTTCCCTCTGAACACCGTTTTTCCTTCTGGAAGATTGAAGAACCCAGAAAGACAGAGGTCATGTTGATTTGGTAGACTGTGCCAGCGGTTCTTAACCTTGGCAACTTTAAGTGTGGACTTCACCTCCCACAATTCCCCAGCCAGTCACCGCTGGCTAGGGAATTCTGGGAATTGAAGCCCCCACCTCTTAAAGTCACCTAGTTTGAGAAACATTGAGGTCTACTAACTTGATTGGGGTGGACAAAACAGTCCACCCAAATTTGCTAGCCACACTTTATTTATGTCGTGTGTCTAACAGACCCTGTTAGTTTCTAGTTCAGAGTGCTGTGTGAATCTTCCAAATTGCATGAATGGAATAAACCAGGATTAAATTCAAAACCGGCTATGCAGCTTCTTTCAGGCACAACCAGGGGTGGGTTCTAAATTTTTTTACTACCGGTTCTGTGGGCGTGGCTTATTTTGTGGGTGTGGCTTGGAGGTCATGTGACTAGGTGGGCATGACTAGCTGGTCAGAGTCATTTCTGGAAGGTCCTTGCACTTACGACTAGTCCTCGCACTTACGACCCGACTCATTTGTTTGCTTTTAACACTGATCAGCTGTAGGGCGGCCCTTTGAAGCCCCCCGGCAAGAGTTTAAACAGTTTTTTTCCCTCTAGTCATCAGCTGGGACTCAGGAGGCAGCAATAGATTGGGGGTGGGACCAAATAAAAGGTAAGAATAACGTGGGGGGGTGGGGGTGGGAGGGCGGGGGGGGGAGAACCGGTTCGGTGACGTCATATCGTCAGCGCTACCGGCTCGGCCGAACCGGACTGAACCGGGAGGAACCCACCCCTGGGCACAACTATAAATAATCCCCAACCTACAACCGCAACGGAGACCAGAATTTCTGTTGCTGAGCGAGGCGGTTGTTAAGTGAATGGTGCCTGATTTTACTATCTTTCTGCCGAGGTTGTTAAATGAATCACTGCAGTTGTGTAGGTGAATCAAATGATTGTTAAGAAAATCTGGCTTCCCCCATTGATTTTGCTTGCTGGAAGCTGGCTCCAAATGGAGAACATGTAACTTTGGGATGCTGCAATCATGGTACATTCATGCCAGTTGTCCAGTGCCCGAATTTTAATCATGTGACCATGGGGATGCTGCAACAGTTGTAAGCACGAGTAATATTTATTTTATTTATTTATTTAATTAATTTATATACCGCCCTACTCCCGAAGGACTCAGGGCAGTGAACAGCCAAACAGTAAAAAACATAGATACAAAATTTAAAAACAAAGTAAAATCGAATTAAACAAATTTGGCCCAAACATATTAAAACCCCAATCATTTAAAAACCAATTAAAATATGCATAATTAAAAAGAGGGAAAAGATTAGGCCAGGCCCGCCTGGTGAAATAAAAAGGTCTTAAGAGCGCGGCAGAAGGTGCGCAGATCCGGGATCCTCCGTATCTCCGGGGGGAGCTCGTTCCAGATAGTAGGTGCCTCCACAGAGAAGGCTCTCCCCCTAGGGGCCGCCAGTCAACATTGTTTGGCCAACGGCACCTGGAGGAGCCCCTCTCTATGAGAGCGTACCGGCTGGTGGGAGACTATTGGTGGTAGTAGGCGGTCCTGTAAATAACAAGGTCCTAAGCCATGGAGCGCTCTAAAGGTGGTAACCAAAACCTTGAAGCGCACCTGGAAGACCAGCGGGAGCCAGTGCAGCTCGCGCAGGAGAGGTGTTACCTGGGAGCGCCATGTCGCTCCCGTAACCACCCGCGCGGCCGCACTCTGCGCCAGTTGGAGCCTCCAGGTGCTCCTCAAGGGGAGCCCCATGTAGAGAGTGTTACAATAGTCCAGGCGGGAGGTGACAAGGGCATGAGTGACCGTGCGTAGGGAGTCCCGATCCAGGAAGGGACGCAACTGGCGAATCAGGCGAACCTGATGAAAAATCCTCCCGGTCACGGCCGTCAAATGCTGTTCTAAAGACAGCCGTGAATCCAGGAGGACGCCCAAGTTGCGAACCCTCTCCGTGGGGGCCAACGACTCGCCCCCAAAAGTCAGCGATGGCGCTAACTGACTATATCGGGACGTCGGAAACCACAGCCACTCGGTCTTGGATGGGTTGAACCTGAGCCTATTCCTCCCCATCCAGATCCGCACGGCCTCCAGGCACCGGGACATCACTTCAAGGGCATCGTTGGGGTGGTCCGGGGTGGAGATGTACAGCTGGGTGTCATCATAGTTGTCCATCTCTTTTTTTTCAGAGCCATTGTAATTTTGAACAATTGCTAAATGAATAGTTGTAAGTCAAGGACTATTTGTATTGGCGGAGGAACACCAGACTAATATGAAAATCTTCTAGCATCTGTCAGAGGAATAATTTGGGATTCCAGCTCAAGCGGCTGTTGCACAAGAATGAATAAAAATGAGATCCAGGCAGCTGTGAGGAAAGAAGAAATATGTATTCCTAAAAGCAAAATAGTTTGCTTTAAGGGGCAGGCGGCAGAGAAATGGGGTACAGTGGTAGACTCTTAGAGGGGGAGCTTGTCAGGTGTGTGGAAGTGTTTACTGGCTGAGGGGCATGTGTGTGTCAGGGGTGGGTTCTACTTATCTTTACTACCGGTTTACAATGGGG